GCAGGGTTGTAAGCTAGCACCAACACTCTATGGCATCTACGCAGCAGTTTTACTTTGTCCTGCTTATAAGGAAATCAAGCACACCTGCAGTGTAAAGGTCAGATTTCGCTATGATGGTGATCTATTTGATCTTCGAAGACTGAACTCAAAGACCAAAGTTTTTACCGAGTACATCAGAGAGGCTCAATATGCAGACGATATAGCCATATTCAGTGGCACTTCAGCAGGGCTACAGTTGTTACTCACAGCTTACAACGACCTTGCTAAGAAGATGGGACTACGTATTAACACTGCAAAGACAGAGACCATGTGCATTGGTACTGAAGCTGAGTTCTTCATAGCTGACACCAAGTTGGTGAACGTCACCCGCTTCAAATACCTTGGCAGCTAGGTAACAAATGACTACTCTATGAAAGAGGAACTTGCAGCTCGTATCCAAGCAACATCATGTGCATTTGGTCGACTACGTCAAAGAGTTCAACTAACGTGACCTTACAATAAACACTAAAGTTAAAGTCTACAACCAGTGTCTTATGCCACTTCTGATGTACGGCAGTGAAACCTGGACTCTGTACCATTATCAAGTTCGACAACTGAGAACAATACAACAACGTCACCTGCGCTTAATCATGCATATTAAATGGGATCATTACATCAGTAACGAGGAGGTCCTGAACAGAGTGGGTGTTGTTTGTTGGCTGCGTTGGTTTGGCCACGTCTGTAGAATGGATAATGACAGACCAGCAAAGGCACTCCTATACAGCGAGCTAGCAAATGGATCCCGATCTGTTGGTTGCCCTAAATTGAGATATAAGGATACCTGCAAAGGTGCTCTGAGGTGTGGTAATGTTCTTGATCAGTGGTGGAATGTTGTAGACAACAGACAGGAGTGGAGAGGTATTGTGCATACAACTTGTGAATGCTTCAACATAAAGAGAATCAAACAGTATGAAAGAAAAAGTGAACGAAGACTTAGAATTCTTGAAGAATTTGAACAAAAGATGATCTATGAACTTTATAGCGATAGATATTTGTACTACATTATTATTCTGTGTAATGCCCGTTTCGGGCTCTCCCTAGGCGTATATATATATATATATATATATATATATATATATATGTATGTATGTATGTAACAGCCGATCAAATAAAATGATAAAAACATCTTTATTGTTGAGCGTTGTTCATGGATTGATCCTGATTTTACTGTATAACTGTCCCGATGAAAACTGCAAAAGTGGTGTTTATGGGCAGTTGGCCGTTCTGTATAGGTGGCCGCTAACACAGGGCTGACTGTGTATCAGATCTACTTCTGCTGTATATAGATCATTGTGCGCGTTTCCTGGATAAGGTGTAGATATGTGTGAGCAGCAGGGGATGTGTCAGCAGCAGCAGCAGCAGCAGCAGCAGCAGCAGCAGCGTTCCCTGCGCACGTTTCCATCATCAGCCTCACCGTAAATGTTCACGTGTTGTTTGTTCCCTCCATTAGAACCGCAGACAAACTGCTAGCGTTAGGTAGGAATTTATCGCCGCGTGTAGGTACAAGTGAACATGTGGACCTGAGTGGCAGTTCTTCACAACGTCTGTCTGTATTCAGTCTAGACTGGTCTGTTCAAAGACCAGACATACATAAAGTATACATGTATAGTTATCGTTGATTTGTGGTAAGCGCGTTGATAACGCGTCTGTATAAAGTACTATCTATAGATCTGTGATGATATGACGTTTACCAGCGCATGCAATTTACTATATAGTCATATGTCGTATCTTCCGTAGCTATAAATCTTTATCTAAGCTTAATTTCATAATTCAATCGTATCTACTCGTCAGGTGATTTCAAAGGGAAAAGCTAATTAATTTCTTATGAAGAGTGACATGACGTTTGCCCCTATACGGAGTTATCAAATCTTTATTGTCATATCTGTGTCTTCCCGTTTAATATACATTTCTAAAATTACAACGAACAACTTTTTCCAGGTGAAGTGAAATCGCGAGTGTTATTTTGTACTAGCAAATTGAATTTTAACTTGCCTTCACCACTTGAAAAGGTTCAAGCCATAGAGACATTTTTGCAGACGAAAATTGATTTTTGTGCCACAGCATGCGCTGCTTGACATTAGTCTCTTCAACAGACAGGTTTTTATAGCTGTCTAGGTCTGGCCTTGGTAGAATTAAATCTTCATTCATTTTTACATTCGAAATGCTGTAAAAACTTGAGTTGTCATGACAACGAATTTTAGAAAGTTTACTCAATAACCCAGCCAATGGCAACACCCGATTGAGTACATCATGGAGTCTCACAAAGCCATTGTAAAATAAACAAATATTTTACCTGGCTATTTTGCCAAATGCTTTATTGGCTGACAGGCGTACCCACCGCAGAGGACCCTTGGATATGTGATACACGCGATGAAATGCAACGAATTCACGATTTAATACATTTTGTCATTACTGTCGGCGGCGTGACTGAATATGCGTAACATGTTAACAGTTGGTAACTTGGTATCACATATCACATGTGTATGTGTAGCATGTGTGTACAGGCTCTATCACGACCTATAGTGACTGGACTTATGTGTCATGTATAAAGGTGGTAGCACGGGGATATCATGACATGTCTGCATGTGGTGTCAAATGTGCAGGGGTACCGTATCTCTAAGGGTGGTATTTGTGTGTAGGGGTGTTGTATTTCTACGTGTCGTGTCAGATTTGTAGGGGGTATCATCTGTATAATGTTGGTTTCTCGTGTGCAGGAGTATCATTATATCAGGAGTAGATAATAGAAGATCTTCTATTATCTACTCCTGATTATATGTCTTCATGTTGTGTCAGAAGTATAAGGATACCATATCTGGAAACGTGGTTTCTCGTGTGTAGGGGTATCATGATATGGCTTCATGTTGTGTCAGAAGTATAAGGGTACCATATCTGGAAACGTGGTTTCGCGAGTGTAGGCGTATCATGATATGTCAACATGTTGTGTCACATATGTAGAAGTATAATATTTCTACACGTTGGGTCACTTGTGTTAGTTGTGTAGGAACATCATACGTTTGAAGGCATATGTGTACAGGTGGTATCTTACATACAGGTGGTAATCATATCTGTGTACGGGTGATATCACATGCGTCCAGGGAAATATCGTATGTGTGCAGCTGGTATCACATGTGTGACTGCATGGGACTGACTACGTTACATGTGTTACCAGTTGGTGGCACGTGTTTGTAGTGAATGTGACAATCTCTACAACCCATGTTAACAGGTGGGGTGGTGTATGTGTGGGGTGAATGTGACTAATTACGTTTTTTTACATGTCAACGGGTCGCGTAACAGGTATATTCGTGTGTTTTCGACTGTATTTCATGCTTCTCATTTGTATGTTTCTCACGACAAATTTTTTGTTTTTCTTGAACGAGGGGTAAATGGTTATTTTTTCAACGACTTTATTTTTCTAATATAAAGCAACTGCAGTTGAAAAATGCTAACGGTGATGCCTGCCGCGCCATCTTTGTAATTAAACATCTATCATCTCCTGTTAAACAGCGTTAACGCGTTGACAACCCTCGTGTGCGACCCCCCTGAATCCCTTGTCCTACCTAGACAAGCGCTGCATGGGCGCCATGTTATAATGACCTCATTTAACGGACGTTTCGCTTAGCAGACGAGCCTCATGAAAGCATTTCATTCGTTAAAGGATGTATGATTGTATTCTGTGATTCTAAAGACATGCTGCTTGCATGAGTTCTGCCGAATCCAACCATTCGTTAACGATATTCATGAAACATGACAATTTCCCCGTTACTCCAATAAGCGATTGCAAAAGATTTGGATATCCACAACAGACATTATTTATATTATACAATATATAGGCTCCTATGTCCTCCTATTGGTACCGACATGTCACCTGACTTCAACAACGAATTAGATAATGAACGGTAGCCACGCTTGGCCACTTGGCAAAGAGCGTAAGTGTTCAACAAAGGTTTGAATGAAATAGGTTATCAATGCTAGTCACATCCTGCATTCAGCGTGCGGCGACATTATTGGTATAAAACATGATGGCGGAGCCCGCCTGTTTACAGAGATACGTGCAGCTGCGACAGTTAAATTCTAGAACGGGTCACGCGTCAGTTAACGCAGCAACCGCGGGAGAGCAGGTTGTCCCGAGAACTGTAGGAAAAAAACGACCACTTGCAATGAAAACGAAATTCTATCAATAAATCGCGCTGTTTGAAAGTTGGAAAATCGACGCGATATCGATGAATTCACATTTATGAATCGTAATTATGAGCGTGAAAATCTTTGACATTGAGAATCCGAGAGGCGAGTGAGGGCGCAGGTTGCAGATCTGCGAAAGTAGACGAAATTAAATTGATCACTCGGCGACTTTAACGCGCCTCGATGTGTCGTCAGTGGTGGCGCTCGTGCTGCCATGTTCTCAGTGAAACGACTAGTTGTTGAGCCATAGACACAATATACTAGTTAGATTTATATACTAGTCGATCTGCATACATTTCTTGTGGGTTGAGCGGTGTCTTTCTATACGCAGCGTAAAAGGAAGCCTCAGTGCAAGTCCATAAGATTTGCGGTTCTGTGTGAGTTATCGTTAGCAAGTGTACGCTCTGTTACACATTTGAATGTTCGCCAGGTGGTTTTAATTGTCCTCGTGCACTAGCTGTACGTGTTCTGCTATAACGGTCAGTTATCGACGTCTCTCTTATGTGTGTTACGTCATCGTTGGTCATGTTTTTTTAGAGAAAAGCGTACTAGCTCTATAGATCAGCTCATCTCACCTACATAGGATATTATAAACAATGGTATCTGTAAACAGCTTGAGATCCGTGCAATTATAATTAATTACATGCTACTTTTGTGACTCGTTGGATAATCAGTAACACGGATACGCGGTAGCAGAGTAGCACTCTTAATTATGTAATATGTATATTTTAGTGTTCTTTGCCTTTATGTTCACTGTTACAATATACTGTTTTAATTTTCAGGGAAATGCCTCAACCGGGCTACAAGGCAATATGTCTGAAGACGGTCATGGGAGGCAATCTTACACGGGTGTAAGTAACAGATCGAGTACATCCTACCTGCTGTTTCTTCTCAATACAGTATAATAAATACACTTTTGAAGCTGCTTTTACATAAAATCAAATTAAAGGAATATGGACTGCCTACCAAGTCGATGTGATCGCGATATCCGCTATCTCTAGCCTGTCAACGTCAAATTAAAGTACACGAAGACATTGTATTCACTCTATGATATTTCTATGTCCAGTAGCAGCCCGCGTTACCTAGACTAGGTCGTAGTTCGTCAGCTCACCCTGTTCGCATGGACTGTGCAAATATGATTTTTGCCATGCATGACAGATGAATCCGTCTAGAATCGTAACTGCTGTCCGTCTTCTAGTTTACTTTCGGATATCCGAAACACTTATTTGACGAGCAGAAAACGTTACATTAACCATTTCCGAGGAGATGGTATAAGCATAAATTTAGCGTCAATTTAACAATTTTAGATATGCTGTTTCATTGTATTTGATTAGCTACTACAGTCACTTTAATGACGATCTCAATAGTTGCAAATGAGTTAAGTCGAAACGCTTCTTATCAGATTAATTGTTAGGTATGGTGATTTTCCTTGATGGCCCACCCTCACGGTAACAGGAAAGTTATGTGGAGAGAGAGGGGGAGGAAACGAAAGAATAAGATATAGAAAAATTGAGGGAGAGGGTGAGAGAGAGCGCGATAGAGAAAAAAAGCGAACGAGAGAGAAAGAGAAAGAGAGAGAGAGCTGGAAATGGCCGGAGTAAAAGAAACGGATGGTCGCGAGGTGCGAAAGATAAGGAAAGTGATTGAGAGATAAAGTGTGTGGGAAGAGAAGGAGGGGAGAATGTGATGCGAAAGAAAGCGAGAACGCGAAGTCAAGAATATGTAATGAGTTTTTTATGTTATAAAATATCAAAACGTATAATATTATTAGCTTTACTTTATTCGCTTAGTCACACTTATATTTCCTTTTCGTCTTTCTATTTCGGTATTCTGCAGGTCTGCGAATGGATATATCCACGACTTCAGTGCATGCCTAAAATGCATCGCAGTCATTATATAGCCACTAACACCCAAAACCTGTCAAGATCGTGCTCAAGGCCAACTAAACCTCTTTCATTTCTGTTGCAGAAAAAAAATCCCTAAATCTAAATCACGTCTCCCCAAGCGCTTGCCCGCGCTGACCGGTAAACCTGAAACCAGATTTCCCAACATTATTATGAAGCGGCCCACAATAGCTCCCTTTCATTAATATCCAAAAACGCAAACAAAGAGTTTGTGCGCGCCAAAACCCGGCCAGTCATCAATGGTGCCTCATTATACAGCGCATATGCGTCCATGGCAGATTACTGAGGTGTGCAAGAGCGCGTGCGTGCATGCGTGCCCGCGTGCGCGTGCGAGTGCGCGGGCTTTCAAACCTGGGTCATCGTCGAGAAATATGGAATATTTCTTTCTGTTTAGGTTTGTCCAGATGAGACGGGCGGGATAAGAGCAATAAGCATTTGAATCGCCGCTATAATTGTGCGTGCATGATCAATGTGTGATGATGCCACTGTTTTGCAAAATATTCGGTTCGATGCCGATTTCTTTCGTGCGAATATGTTATTTGGACAGTTTGAAAATACGGGGCTCGTTGACACGGAATCGTTATTTTCTCTGTGATGACATATTCGTGATTACTTTCGTGTGCCTGCAAGTAGGTGTTTGAAGCTTTCGTGCCGGAGCATCTCTCGATCATGTTCTTGCAAAAAACACTAATTTTGTGCAGTTGCTTGGTAAATCTTCTTTTTCTTTGTTACTCTAGAATGTCAAGTATTTTATAGATTCAGGACGTTTGTATGAGGTATACGCGAAACAATTAGTGCGGTTAGCATTGATTTTTAAAACATTAATTATTTGTATATTAGTATAATTTTTTACATCTCGGTTCTTGTGGAACAATATACTAGACTTCGGTTAGGGGTTTTGAAACGTGCACCATTCTCACATTGCATTGAATTTTTATTAACCATGTCTTAAAATATTACTGGAAACTACAGTTGCGTTTACTCTGTGTTTCAACTACCCACCCCTTCATTATTGAATACTTAATTCCATGCTAAGCTACTCCGTCTAATTTAAACATTGTGCATATCATTATAATAAATCAAATCTTCTTTGACAGATGCCTGCCAGTCTCAATGGTCAGAGAGGAAAAAGCAAACAAAAACGAAACAACGTGCAACGCTGTGGCCAGTCTAGCGCATCCAGCCCTTTCTAAACGAGCGGTTCAGGTGGCAGTCTAAAACCGTCATTTGCATAGTCATGAAAAGAATCCAGTTTTGAAATGGGTTGGGTGATGTTTGAAGGTTGGCCGTCTTAGAGACAGGGGATGGTATATGGTTCCGTTTAGAGGCCCGACCCTATGTACTAGGTCTGTTACATTACAAAGTGCTAATGAAAGGGACATTGACACTGAAATTATATATGCGTTCATGTTTTTGATAGCCTAACAGCATATTTCAGCCACTGACCTATAGGTTTTAAATTACGGTACTTGGCTGCATAAAAAAATGCGAGAAAATGTCCCATATTATTCTTATCACTATGCTGCCAACGTTTACTATGATACCTACTACCATGAGCAATACCACCATTCATTATTATCACCATTATCATAACCACTGTCATCACTAATACTACCGTCACCATCAAACCCATAGATGCAACCCCCATCACAACCCTCACCACCACCATCATCACAACCCTCACCACCATCCCAACCAACACCACCATCACAATCCTAACCACCCTTACCGCTACCGCCGCCGCCGCCGCCGCCGCCGCCGTTACCATCATAGCTCTGCGTTCAGACAGCACTCAATTTTATATAATTATTGTTCGTATAGGGTTCTGTTTTACGACGTTTTTCGATGCTATGAGTTTGTGCGATGCGGCTATTTCATGCCTCGTGTCGCCTAACGTGGCGCGCGTGCACTGGGACGTTACTTCATACCTCCGGATCGAATGTTTTTCTTGCATTATTTTTCTTTAGAGGGGCCCCGCGATTTTCTCTACCCAATACGTCTCTCTTAATAGCTCATTATGTAACACGGAGTCTCCGGTAATTATTTAATCATGAAGATCGAAGACAAAATATTTAGTCTGAGCGTTCGCAAGAAAACTGCCAGCAAACGTTTGATAAATTGGCGCATGCAGGCAGTGACAGATGCCAAGCAATTCATTTGTTGTTAACTTCATCCGCCAACGGTTGCTGCTACCCAATGATATCTAGGGCAAATAACCTCAGTGACCAGTGCGTGTACGCGAACGTAGGTTGGGAGTGAAGGGGAGTGGAGGGAGGGAGGATCACTCACTAAAGCTGCGCTGGGCAAACCTGGAAGAGTGGCGCTGATAATTAATTAGATATAGTGAGTTGAGGGCTTCGTGTATCTTGACATTGCTATCGTGCAGTTAATATAATATGATGAGTAGATAAATACCTATACGTAACGGATGAGTGTTATAGTTGGCAGGCATAATTAATCGACCTTGAAACGTAAATTTGTGGATTATCGTATAGTACTTAAAACTCGTTCCAACTTCAAACGAATGACTGTATAGCTTGCGTAATATATATATATTGTGTAATATCTGTAGCAGGGCTGCATCGTGTGAAAAGCTTCATTGTTATCTACATTTTACAATACGCGTACACCGTGGCCAGCGTGTTGTAACGATTCGATGCATAATCTTGTCATCAAAGATTTTGAGCGCGCGTCGGTACAGCATGAGGCGCCATCTCTCGGTACAAAATTGAAGCTATATTGCCGGATTCCGTTGCGCACGCGTGTAATGTGCGTATTCATAGAGGGAAAGTCACCTTAGGATGAGCATATGCTTGCTGTGCGTGCTAGTGCAATTAACAGCGTATTCCGGCGGAATAATTGCCGTTACATTTTAAAATATCCCCCCTTGCGTGATTACGGGGGTGATCTTGGTTGGACCCTAGCCTTGCCAACTGCGTGTCAATAAATGTTTATCAAACTTTTCCTTTTTTTCTAATGCATCTACTTTGTGTGTCTGTCCCGGTAGGATGATAAAAAAAACTCACATACCCATGTGTCAGATAACCATCCGGCAGCTGTTGGATGCTACTAGCTGTATCACGGGGTCTACAAATTATCAAGGATAAATGAAAGGCACCAAGAGGCAGGCTCGAACTTTTTGTGGTGTTATTTTCCGTTTGCCGGGGTCCGATTTTATTCGGGATTTCTCGGCAGACAAAAATTTTGCGCTTCGCACTTTTTAGCGGGCTTCGCCCTGTTTATCAGGTGCTGCCTGAATCATGGCAGCTCTCTAGCTTGCCGTGGTGCGGTAGCTTTCAAATTCCTTCCTACACACAGCTCTGCTACCACTCACAATATTGTGCCTACACTTACTGCAATACACTCACTAGAAACCGTGCAGCATCACTTAAATAATTTCGAATTTCAAAAGAAAGGTCTACGCAATAACGTGAAGCGATTGTTTTAATTTTCAAAGTTGTGTAATCGATGGGCTGTCATCGACAACGTGATCTGTTGGTCTTCCTGCGATTGCTTGGGTCAGGGCCGTATATAGGTCGCTGTAGCTGATCTGCTACGGAAGGTTTAGCGGACATGGGCATATTACGCAGTTAGGAAACTCTTTATAACGTTTTCATTTAAATTTGTAATGTGTTTGCGATTTTTTTTTTTAACAAACAACATCGAACATTGATCGGGCAAAGCACATGGCTAGCATTCTTCCGTCAAAGTTTCGCGATTGTATAGTATTGATAAATGTTGTTTTCACATTTTACAGTGCATGCCATGCACAGAATAATGTCAGAATATCATCCCCCCCCCCCGTGTTTACCATTTCTGATTTATTAGCAAGTTATTTTCTATGAGAAGTCGAAGCGATAAAATGGTTCAGATATTCACGTTGCTGTACGATTTTTCGAAGCTGCATGTACGTGGCAATAAAGCGTTTCACTATTTTAACATTTCTACATGCCCTAGGCTGGCGAAGAAGCTTCGACTAAAACTAAATTCGTTTGAAGTTTTAACATAAACAATAAGTATGGTAGCAAAAAAATAACACTCATTATTAGCTTTTTTTCATATACGGCTCTGAACTTTTTGTTTTAGGAAGTATGCCTGTGCTGCCTTTGTATTAACGTATTTCGAAAAGTATGATGAAAATTTCGAGGATGATGCAGTAATTTGACTATGAAAGATAGGAACACTAAGAATAGTTTGATATGTAGTTTTCATTTTGTACCTGACACGCTTTTGACAAGACCTATTTATAATAATAACTCGGATACTTGAAGGTAACATTATTCTACATATTTGATTGTTAGCTGCGTGTTTCTTCCCGCTACCAAATGAATGATAGCATTTCTGCGTGATCAGTCCCTGAATGTTTTCATGTTTGTCTTCCCATTTGTTAGTCTGTGTTTTGCCTCGTCTACTGCGCGTCTACTGCGCGTCTACTGGGTTTCCTGCCGATCCTGTATTATAGGGTGCCACTACTAAAACATTGAGAACACGTGTCGCTATAAAACTGCGGATGTGTGTCAATAGTAAGTATATTTTAGTCTAATGGTTACATTGCAGATAATCCTGGTAACTAACAATACACAGTGTGTTGTATGTTTAGACATTTGACAATACACTGTGTATTGTTAGCAAGCTTTCAACAATACACTGTGTATTGTTGAACACCTAACAATACACTGTGTATGTTTGAACACCTTCTAACAATACACTGTGTATTGTAGTAGGGTACCTGTGGCAGCTTTCAACAATACACTGTTTATTGTTGAACACCTTCTAACAATACACTTTTTTTCTTTTCTTTTCTTTTTTATTCGTTTACTTTTTGATTTGTAAACTTGAAATTGACATTTATTGAAATTATTTTATTTATTTTATTGAATTTGTGCTAATGTGAACTCAATTACTATTTTATCAAATATTCACTAAACTTGTCAAAATCATCGGCATCCAGTATGTGTTAAAAATGGACACACGACTGCAGCGCGGGACTGTCAGCTATCACGGTTATACACTACGAACATTTGTCTAAATGGTTGTCTGCTACGAGAGGTGATATCTGTATAGTACAGATCGAATGTACCGCTAACGCACGTTTCTAAAAGCAGTTTTATTCGATGATCATTTTTTACGTTTCTCTGCATCTGTGGCCTTTATTTAGTACGTCAAATCAACATGTAGACTATTCAGTCGTCTTTGATTTTTGACATTATGAGGCCATTAACAAGCTTCGCGTTTGTATCTATTCAATTGATTTATGGAATTAGGCATTCTATAAACGACATGTGCTTCTAAAAATGCCAGTATGTATGTGGATGGCAGTGAAGTTGTTGCAAGGATTTTCCAACAGTCACTTAGCAGAAGTCCCACGTATGCAGACAGCTGATTCATAACTGTTCGAGCATCTTCGCGCTTCGAAAATCACGGCAGCATATGAAGAAATATCTAGAACTAGCGGATACCCGCGTTGCCCGGGGAAAATCAGTGGCGTTACTCAGTTGGTGACCGCTTGGTTGAAAGGAAAATACCCAAAAAAAATCGAACTATCTATCTATCCATGCATCCATCCATGCATCCATTGCATTACATGTCATCCCATCCCATCCCATCGCACCGCATCCCATTCCATCCCATGCCATATCCCATCCCATCCCATCGCATGCCATCTCATCGCATCCCAGGCCATGCCATGCCATCCCATCCCATCCCATCGCACCGCATCCCATCCCATCCCATCCTATCCCATGCATCCTATGCCATGCTATCCCATCCCATCTCATCCATCGCATGCCATCCATGCCATCCCATCCCATCTCATCCCAACAGTAGAAAACTAGACAGAGGGCACTCACGGAGAGTGCATACCTCCGCCAGCATGTAACATGTATGTGTTACGAGCTGGCTCGCCGCTCGCTGCTGGCTGCTGCCTGACTGACTTGCCTGCTGCTGACTCGCCGCTCGCTGGTGGTTGCTGGTGACTTCCTCGCCTGCTGCTGACTCGCCGCTCGCTGACTGGACACACACACACACACGAACACACACACGAGACCGATTACATTACCTCCTTGGCGGAGGTAATAATAAGAAATAAAAAGATGAAAGTCATTAAAATAAAAAAGTCAAAAATAATAAATAATAAAATGAAATTATATAGAAAATATAATAATATTTGATATGTAACCTACTTAGCAGGGGCGTAAATCCGTACCGAGGAGTGGGAGGGATGATCGGCGATAGCCGGGGGCGAAATTAACCTTGGCTGCCGCAGGCAGGCCCGCGTGCCGTAGGCATGCCAGTGCTAGGGGTGTCTGGGGGCATGCCCCCCACAAACTTTTGAAATATTTAAGCCATTTTCCTGCAATCTGAGGCATACTGTGGGCCATATCTCATGTCTGATGACACTATCGCAACCCTAGACTCATCCCTACAAGTTAGGATTCAAAACACTTTTCATGACTTTTCAGAGAGCGTACACAGTTAGGTACTACTATAGTAATAATACATGTTATTAAAACACAGGTAAGAATTGCAATTTCTCACAATTTCAGTGTTTTTGTATGTTTGCAACCATACTTTTTGGGCTATTCTTTTTTTCTCTCTTTTTTTGAATCTCAGGGGGGATATTTGTACAGGCATCCCCCTCCTTCAAGTAGCGGGGGGGATGCATTCCCCCAAATTTTCCCCCCCGGGATTTACGCCCCTGCTACCTAGGCTTCCGTGAAGTGTTCCCGTGAGTTTGCGCTATCATTATCATCTACCATAGTTTATTCTGGATTTTTACTAAACGTTTAAATGTGGCGGTACTCAGTTGGTGACCGCTTGGTTGAAAGAAAATACCCAAAAAAATCGAACTATCTATCTATCCATGCATCCATCCATGCAATGATGCATCCATCCATTTATCGCATTCCATGCCATCCCATCCCATCCCATCGCACCGCATCCCATCCCATCCCATGCCATATCCCATCCCATCCCATCGCATGCCATCTCATCGCATTCCATGCCATGCCATGCCATCCCATCGCATCCCATCCCATCCCCCCGCTCTTATTTTGAAATTAACGGTGAATACGGCAGAAGTACATACTAAACAGTCAAAAAGTAAAGAAACAAAGCATTTTCCGAGGTAGGATTCGAACCCAGAATCAATGGTTTAGTAGTACGATGCTGTATCCATTCGGCTACTAGGCCGTTATGGTTATACACAATGGATTCACACGTACGTGATGTATAATGTTAACCTGTACCTATTGATAAATATAATTTTTATAAATTTTTAACTTTTTAACTTTTTTGAAATTTTGTTTTAGCCAGAACCACCTCCCAGACGTGCTGATTCTGAAAATATATTTAGTTTTCCTCTAGACTGCGGAGTTCTCTAGTTATGCGCGAACACACAAATTCGGCTGAACAACTTTATATATATAGAAGCTCAGGGTCGCGGCGTTTCATTCGCCGAATCTGAAATAAACGTAGATTGTGTAGAATGTAAAGTAGTTAGATGTTCAAATATTTAAAGGGTGGGGGGCTCATTCGGTTGCAGTAGTTGCTAGGCAATTTTGTATATAATACGTTGCTTAGCAGTTAGAAATAGCAATCGAAGTGCACTGCACTTGTCGTACTTTCAGATTGAAGTCTGGCCATAGCGAGTGGAGGGTATCTAGGGTTATAGTTTTAATATAAAGAGCAAGATATGAGACTCGCTCTCGCACTTAGCGTTGTTGCTTGCCATCAGCACGTGGTCATTGCAGGTTTGCGGCACATCGCAGAACCTGCTGTAGATTGGCCCGAGAGCCCAAGCTATTATTTTACACGGGAACAATAAAGTACAGTGTAAACAAATTGATTTTATTTGCGCAATTCCACTCGTTGACAGCCCCCTTGTTTCATTCGTAGTGCGACTGCATGTGTAACACCTACTAAGCGGCTTTGTTTGCGAGCGCAATGAATAAGCGGCAGAGCGTTTATTGTGGACACTAATGAGGTTATAATTGCTGCAGAGCCGGGACCTGGCCGATTCTCCGCATCACACGGAGAAGTCTCGTGTTGCCATGACCGCACAAATGAGTTATCCGCCGCCCTATTCACAAGACTTCCTTGTTGCTGTCTTTCCAGGCCTTTACACCCACCAAGTCGCCACTGGCGTCGCCTCTGGCGTCTCCTCTGGCGTCTCCGCTAGCCTCGTCGCTGGCGTCTTCATCACTTGCGCAGTCTGTGATCGCGTCATCCATTGCCGCGACGTCGGCGTTGTCGCTGGCATCTCGATCCCCGATGCCGTCGCCGCTTGGCTCACCAGTGTACTCTTCATCGAAGTCTGTGTTGTCTTCATCGTCCCAGGTTAGTGTCTGCTGAGCTGATAAGGTCACAGCGCCCTGACGCGACAGCTAGACCTAGTTCTTATCACAGACCTTTTTTCAGAGAAAATGATGCAGATAACTGGCAAATTGCGACAAGGGTAGCCTAAAGGGCACTTTAAAAACAAACGAACTCCAAACGGAAATTAGGAAGGGGTATATTGCACATACGTAACAATCTACCTCGTTTTCTACAATCTATCTACCTTTGTTGCAATCAAACGTCAACGTCCTCAACATTCGGCCTTTAATGGCTAGTTAATCTTATTTTACGTGACGCTCCCAAATGTTCACGTGTGTCAAACTGTTACACTCAGGTCGCTTCACACAGAGCTCTTGCTTGTGATAAACGTTCATCGTGTGCGTGTCTCTTGCAGTCGTCGTCGTCGTCGATCATGGGGCCGCTACAATCGCATCAGTCGCAGAAGTCGCCGTCCCTCAGCGAGGCCGCATCCAGTCACAAGAGGCCGCACGAGGGCTCGCCGCCGATGGCCGGTATGGCCGCAATGCCGGCTAACGTGGCCAGCATGTCGTCAATGATGGCCGCCAGTCCGCCGCTACTCTTTCCCGGCGACAAACGTCTACGTGGAGAGTTTAAGGTACGCGACCCCTGCCGACCTTCGCCGATTGTTCACAACTTTTACTGAGATTACACGACCTTTGCCAAACTCTGTCGACCTTCAAACGCTCGCGATTCTCGTCGAGTTGTTTCCGTGTGGACAAGTTTGCCTACTTAAATCGGATTAGGGTATCTGAGGTCGGTCGCGTATGAACTGATCCGTGGTGCAAACACTGCGGGTTCGTTGAACAACGTGAAGTCACCTTGGGCGTGACCGCAGTTGGCTTGAAGTGGTCTACGTGTTAACATTCTTGATGGCAGCCGATGGTAGTGAGGGAGGAAGGCAAGGGCGCGTTTAGGGCGTGGGGAGGCTGGGAGTTGTACGGCAGAATAGCACTGAAAGTACGTGATTAGTAGTTTGGAGGATTATCTCCTATGCCTACTTGACAGTTAGAAGATTATCTTTGTGATCGGTGGTAGGACAATCTTGATAGCCGTGTGACTGGTTGTCATATGCGACCCATCTCTCTCTATGCTTACCGCATCCTTACTTTGCATGAACGTCGTTATCACACACGCACGCACGCACGCACGCACGCACGCACACACACACGCACAACCACACGACATGGTTATGTGGCATGAAAGTTCTGAATGTATTTGAATGTGTGTCTGGGTAATTGTAGCATATAAATTCTAGAAGATTTGGCGTGTCTGCACATGTAAGTGTAATGCATGTTAAACGTGACATGATGTTTATGGATTTCATAACGTATAATGAATAACTGCAGATAAGAACACTGTTTTGATTTTTTAGGTTGATATGCTGTTTCTCGAGTATTTATGTTTAAATAAAGGAAGGATTCATGGCCTTTTACTAGAGAAACAAGGTCAATGCTACCATAGAGAATTTGACATTTGAGAATTTTTATTTTAGCATCGTAGAATTCAAGTATCACATTCCGCATGAAGCTATACAAGCTTATCTACGTGGTTACATTTCTCAAACATGTATTTTCTTGCTCATTAGTCCAATTGAGTTACACTGGTAATCTAACAACGTAATACGTGGTTACATTTCTCAAACATGTATTTTCTTGCTCATTAGTCCAATTGAGTTACACTGGTAATCTAACAACGTAATAGTTGTTAGGAGAAGTAATGAACAAGCGAAGTAGCGTCCAGGTTGTCGAAAATTATAGTGTAGCGATGAAAATCCCCGCGAGTGAAAGTTAATTTCGGACGCTTGGATCAGAACCTATTCGAAGAGCGTCGTAATGCACTTTGAACAATTGTGCTGTGCTCAAGTAAAAGAACATTATCCTTTGAAAGTTTGCTTGTTCGCCTTTTACGATACGTGCCATTTGCCCTCGCTACAACAGTGGGCAGACCGAATTAGTTACAGTTAGATGCCAACGAGATAGCATTCAACCCAACATAGTTTTGTTATTCAAACTAATGACATTACATTTGGTTTTCGGGCTAACGTGTTAGGGTGCACGTGTCATGGCTACAGTTATGGGGTTGTGCAGAGGGGCGAGTTGCCCCCTACCTAGGTCTTGGCAGTGTCAACGGTGAACCGCTTACTGTGAACTGCCCGGAACACAATGAATGAACACACCATGAAACACGAAACAACACCGCGTGGCTTTGCCCACTGAGGCGAATGTGTGGCGAAGGCCCTGTACTGAGTATAATCGATCTTACAGTTGTCGACCCAGTGATGTCACGGGTTCCATCCTTTCGCTGCAGGTCAAGTCCCACCCATGTGCGCATTGCCACAAGGCATTCGCTAACCAGCATCAGCTGAACCAGCATCTGAGAGTGCACACGGGCGAGCGGCCGTACCACTGCTCGTACTGTGAGCGCAGCTTCAAGCAGCTGTCGCATCTCCAGCAGCACACGCGGCTGCACACCGGTGAGTCGCTGTCCACGGCAACCGCGTCTCCGTCGACTCGCTTGTCGTCGCCCCACCACCCACCACCCCCTCGCGCACACAACCCCTCGCATTGGAATTCGTCAATGTGAGCTCTGGCATTTATTAGTGTGTGCCGATGAAACTATATGTCGTATCGATGCACTCGGCACGCACAAATTTCCTGTGTCCGTTAGAGGCCTGTAAAGCTGTTTAAACAGCTCGTCGATAAATATTATAATCGTGTTCATGGCGCCTAGGTATTCCACGTTCAAGTTGTGGTAGTACCTAATAACAATTACGGTAACGAGGTTGTTTATGGACGACGATTTATGGTGCGTTTCATGTGATAATAGGGAACGTTCACAATCTCAGGCATTAACCTCTGTTCTCGTGTAGGGGAGAAGCCATATAAGTGCACGATGCCGGACTGTGGTCGCGCCTTTGTGCAGCTGTCCAACCTGCAGCAGCATTTGCGCAACCATGACAGCCAGCTGGCGAAGAACTTTGCTGAGAAGCGTCCATATCGCTGCATGGTGTGCTGTAAGCGTTTCGCACAGGAGGCCAGTCTTGAATCTCACATGCAGAAGGTGTGTAGCAGACGTATAGCGGTGCTAGAATGACTGCACTGTGATCCGCTGTTAGTTGTGACGACTGTCTGGCAGTACCTTACGTTCCGTGATATTTCATTGTGAAAGTGTAGTAGATGCGAACGTAAACGAAAGCGTGATAAATTCAACGTGACTGCGCATTGTTTTTCTGGACGCTCATAAGAGTGAAAGTAGTGAAATTATTCAGCTAACGGTTCAGGTGAGAATTCGATTGAAACGAACGCTAGTTGCTATTCTTTTACCTAAGCATTTTCGTCTTCGAATGACAGGAGCATTCGGCCGAGTCGGCCCGTATACAGCCGTCGCCGCAGCAAGTACAGCGCCATCTACCGTGCACGTTTTGTGCGCGCGTGTTTGACAGTGAGGCAAACCTATTTCACCACGTGCGCGTCGATCACAAGGAGCAGTGGGAGATGTTCTGTCGGGGCCGCCCCCTCAGCGATGTTGCACCGGATAAGCGACGCGACGCCTTCTGCTGCCCCATCTGTGGGAAGGCCTACGTGAACGAAACTTGTTTGCGCAAGCATGTGACCCTGCACCCTGAGGTAAGCAGTGGCAAACAGCCACACGATGGAAAATGGGATTGTGTAGCGGCAGTACTACTACTAGTGACTCGCGAAATTCAGACATCAGTTTCGCGTTCACTATCGGGGGGTGTGGATTCTATGTATCATCGGCAGTTATATCAGGTTTTCTTGAAGTGTTTTGTTGGTTATGATAACACTGTGAAATACAGCTGAATGCGTGATCTGGTGCATCTAATCTCTTTCATCCGTTTTTCGACATGCAGTGTGAAAGCACGCTTTGAAAAAGGTGGTGAAAATTTGAACTGTGTTCTCTACCTGCACATTATTGTATCTATTAAAGTGATCAGCCGTGCATCAATGCATGTTTTTATAGTAATGAGGTATTTAATGTTTATTCCCAAGCACATGAAAAAACACACATGAAATTGCCACAATGCTAATATTTGTGCGCGCGTGTACCTGCGTGTGTGCCTGCATACCTAGGTTTTTACGAATACCTCCGTCATATTAAAATGTTTTTAATAATTACTTTGGTAGCAGATGACAAGTCCAAAGACGTCAGCATCTGCTGGGGCGGCGGCAGCGGCGGCGGCAGCAGCAGCTGCAGCAATCGTTGCCGCTAGCAACTCCAGCGTGCGCACCTGGCCCTGCACTATCTGCGAGACAGTGTTTCCACAGGTGATGATTGACAGTTTGTTTTGATTTAAGCTGTCGCAGCTCATACACTGTGTGTCATTCGACCACGCGTTTGCGGAAATTTCGCCACTAAATCCGTTTTCGTTTTCGTTTTTGCAGGAGGCGGGACTGCTGCAGCATCTGAGACAAAAGATACACGACGACCAGCATAGGTTTGTTGCTCAGTATCTGCTGGATAATGGTGTGCCCATGCCTCCACGCGGCGCCATGACAAACTATGGACACGATCGCCGCGGGGACGACAACGGCCACATGTCCGTGAACAGTTTACCGAGTTCTTCGCAATAGCTAACTGCAGAGCTACATTTGCCTTTCAATATGCATTTCAGCCATGCTCTGCCTTTAGAGAGGATGAAAATGTCCTTTGTTTCTGCCAAATTGTGATGAAATGTGAAATTGGTTTTATTTGAGGATGTCGTTAAGAAAACCACCTCCACGTGGCGTTTTCGTCTCATGAGTAGCTAGCGGAAAACAATGATTAATGTGTGGTTGCATACAGGTCGCGAGTGGTACCATTTTGCAGGACTTTGCATAAAAGACTGGAGTTTCCTTTCGTGACTCTCACAAAGTCACCCATCTCTTCAGCTGTTTGGAGCTCTTTGGATAATTAACAAATTTGAGCAACTCTTGACTGAATGACATAATGTATAGCGGCAATACAATACAATACAAAGATGGCCCCATCAAAGCGCTGTTGTTCAACACCTATAGGCATAGAAACCACTCCCGTAGTAAGGCAATGGCTGCACAGTGCCAGGAAGTGTCCCTCCTTTTTCCCCTTTCCCCCGGATGGGAATAACCGATGCCTAGTTGCTATCGTCATTCTGTGCAGTTTTGTTAAGTTAGCAACTGCAGTTTTATGCGGATCCCTGCAGCACAACAGTGACTATATCACTGGTGTAGACCAAACGCCATGACTGCCCTCACTCTGCTACTCCCGAGAGGTTACGGCTCTTCTGGATGACATGCTCTTACTTGAATTTCCCTGATCGATCCGTCGGAGAGAGTCCTGTGCTGACACGGCTGATCGAGGGGCATCTGTTGACGATGCTTCGAGGAGTGTAGAATTCTAATTATGATATTTGAACTTCAGTGAGTAGTATGTAAGTTGTTCCTTTCAGATGCACGGCGGTTCTGCATCTCTCATCCTTCCAGTAGTTATACAGTTCAACTCGACCGTTGAGTTAACGTGGAACGGGAATCGTGGGCTCACCTTAGAGTGTAATGCTAAGCAGTCATGGGTCTTTGCCTTTCTGCCGCAGAGCCGCCGTTCATAGAGCATATAGTTCATCTTGCATGTTAAACTCGATAGATATAAAGGTAAACGTAATAGTCTGTTACCGTGTTTTGGCTAGATATGGCTCTATATTCCACCCCACCCGCACGCTTTTAATAGTTGAGCATACGTACCCGCATACTCCTCAGTGTTCAAGCGATATACTGTAGTTCGTCTTGGTGGTTGATTAATTGCTCTCGTTGCCGCTCTGCTTTTTACGTACGTGCGCGATCATGCTGCGTGGACAGGTGCGGGGAGACCTCCTGTTATGGCAGCGTCGTACGCTATATGAGGAAAGGCACGTGGATGCATACATCAACACGTAGATGTTTCGTTTCACATGTAGTAGCCGCGTCCGCTCTCTGACTTCATTGGTAGCGTACCAGCACACGCCCATGTAACTGTCTATACACATACGCATCGGCCGCAAACTTTGCGCCGATGCTCTCCCACTGCTTCACTGCGCAATCGGGAAAATGCATACATGTCAAGTAAATCGGTTACAGCGTACAGAGAATTGCTACAGTCGTTTGATGATATGACAGAGGGCTGGCCTGGTTATAAAATGATCTATTGTTAATTAGAAACGCCATTACTGTGTGGGGGTCGCAGGATCACCCTGTGCGAGAAGTCTTTCATTGTGCGCATAAGTCGCACACCGTAAGTTAGTCTTTCTTTAACTATGCTTTTGAGTTTCGCTTCATTTACGATGTTTTTATGTGTAACCCAGAATAGTGCGGACAATCAAGTTTGTGTACGTCGTCACGTAATGATACTAGATTTTTAGGTTTATATTAAGAGTAGGTATCATTGTTCATGATACTTGCGCTCTAGGATTGCAGGTGCTGTCATTTATTCCATATCAAACGGAGGTTTTCTAATGCTACCGCAATTACGTACCCTGAGCAGACATCTAGCGCAATAATATCTGGTTACCAGTGCGTTTCATCGGAATGCTGTACGAATGTTTAAACCGCGCCGTGGCGATCATATTATACTGTACGTAACGACGAGACGGTCGCGCGGATTAATGTTGATACAAAATAGGTCTGCCTGCGGGCTACTTATACTAATAAGGATGTAACTGCTGTGGTAACCATGCGGATTATTGGGCTAGCGTGGTGAAAACTGAAAGCGGTTTAAGGTGAATATATGATTGCACTTGTGTGTCTTGGGCCAGCAATTATTATGTGTACCCAGTGCAGTGGTTTTAGCGTAGTAGATGGCCACTTTAATTTGTAAAGCTGGTTCACATTGACGATAGTAGTCACGTGACACATACGTGTGGTTGATAGTTCTTTACGAACGAATAAAGAACGTAGAATGTAATGTGTTGTAAGTGTGCAAAACTTTATAAGGGAATGGATATACATATATGTACATACTAGTATGTAGTTTTAACAATTTGGATACCACCTCTGAGTTTGTGCCCGGATATCACTAAGCGTAATGAAATGGTAGTAGGAGAGTCACCCACGTCCTGCTTGTCTCTACTCGACTCTTTCGAGACCAGTGTGCGTAATTCTAGATAATTGCCTACTTTTCGTGAGTTCAGTGGCCTGGCACACGCCAAGAGGTGAGGAAGAAAAATTGCTATATATCGTTCATTGTGACACTGTTTCGTTTGTCGTATGCTCTTCCCTTGTAAACTTTTGAAGCAAGTTATAAGCTGAGGCTGTGATCTTGAGAATACAAAAAGAAATTTTGTGATCTCCGACCGTTAAATTTGAAATTTACACAGACAGACAGGCAGGCATGTAGGCGCCAAAGAAAACGAGATGGTGCTCGGTTATTCCTCTACTGGATAATACCTGATGGGGAGAATGGCAACCCGCATATGTTCCTTCACCAGTCGGCATACAGTGTGCTTCAGTATTCGGTGCTTTGTATTTGCTACTGTGTATCTGTTTTTTTGTGTATAAAAAATTAAGAAAGAAAACGTTCTGAAGGCGTCGGTCTGTAAGGTTAATTCCATGTAGTCATAATAGAGGGACGCTCGACGGGCGTGCTCGAAAGGATCGTGTCTTTACCAGCCAGTCAGCCACCGGGCGAGAGAACATGGCTCATGCGTTGGTGCGTTTCTATGTTTATACGCCGCTGATACGTTTAGCATTTCTAGCGTCCTCCGGGGCTGAGAGAGAGAGAACAGTGCTCGCGTTGCAACCTCATCTGCGCTTTGCATCGTTATAGTGGATTCAAATCTAGTAAACGACGTCGTTTCAACTCTCGTAGAACGGCTTTGTGTTCGGCGGAAAGTTATATTCTATGTGCGTTGCAAGCCAAAGAGACTCGCCATTGTGATTGTGAAACACTTTTTGCGGAACAGTAATATGACACGCGCTGCGAAAAAGATCCTTGACCGGTCATAGCACAGGTGCAAGGCTTAGCATTTTCTCCCCAAGCCCCTCAGGCAGCCAGGTTTCATTGTTTGTATTAAAAGTCAAATATCTGAGGATATTGAAAGATCATGCAATGTCTTCGCCACGAGATTTATGGAGAAAGTAGTTAAAAATGAGCGCATTGAGAGTTCTAGATCTAGCGTGCTGCCTACAGGCGTAAAGCATACAAGATTAGCAATATAGGAAGTGAAAGCCAAATGTATGTTGTTATGTGCGTGTGTGTGCGTGCGTGTCTGTTGTTATGTGAGTGTGTGCATGTTTTAGAACAGTACAGTATCTGCAAAGGTTTTTTATATCCTATTTGGGATATGAGAAAACGAGAGAAAGAACGCACGCGAGACAGTGCTGGGCGTTTGTGTAGATGTTTGCGCACAAATGACAAACACGTCCATATACGAAAGACTGAGTACACTTGCGAAATCCTAGTCATGAAAGTCTTTAGGTATAGTTTACCGAAGATTTGGCGTGAACAAATTGAAAAACCCCTAATAACAAGAGCAGATCGCCCGTTCCATTATCTGCAACATTGCCTGTCGTGTGATTCATGAGCAAATGAAACTACTGCTGTGTAGATTTAGTTTCGATGATAATTCGTTACCGAAGTTATTGGATGGCAATTAGCTCTACGTGGTCACAGCTATAGATCGCAGCAAATCTATCGTAGCTGTCACAATATGGCACCAAATCATGAACTAAGCAGCGGCGTTGATACAGCTGTGTCTCTGATCACCGTAGCAATGGCACCGGCGTTCAATATTAAGTGTGGTATTAATGTTGTATTGATGTGGTACTAAGTGTGGTAAGACTGAGATTCTCACGTAACGCGTGACTGGTTGGGCCGACGTCGACGGTGAGGTCGCGCGTAAGTCGTATGGTGTAAATAGTGGCTAGTCCATGCATGTGTTTACGTGCTTCGTCAGCATGTGTGAAAGCCACAGCTATGTTCCGTATGTAGAGACTTTGGAATTGTGATACTTTTGTAGGTGCCAGTCGGCAGTGGCCGCGTTGGTACGTGAACGCATCAAACCTTTATATATCCGGCTTGAGTCTCAACACTTGTTAAAAGACTGATAAAAAGCTTTCAAAGAAAGTGGCGGTCGGATGTCAATCGTTGAGTCGAGGATATTTTTGTAAAATATGCTACCTATGCTACCTATTGTGTTCGTATAATATACTATTTAGCTTTAGATATTGTATGCTATTTTGTGTCGACTGACACATAGTGTCATGTGATTGATGACTGTACTCAACATTGTAAACGACGACGGAGCTGTCTGGTCCGCCATGATGTCCAGTTTCGACAGAGCCTGCCCAGATCGTGCTCCTAGTTTTTAATGAGACCGGGAGCCAACCCCCTTTAGGAGAGTACTCCTTTGTCTGGGTTACGTGATCATAGCTTGTAGTTGCAGACAGAGCTAAAAGGACAAATAAAATGTCACCGTAATGCCTTCGTATGTTATTCGAGGGATTGTATTTATATGGCAAATATACAAATGTTAACATATTTACTGAATAGATCCTCTCTCTTTGCCACTTGTTAGCTGTTTGGTAGGTGCAAAATTACAAGACGTTAAGCATGCCAGTGCTAGGCTAATTTTCTCGTGTAAATATGTATAAAAATGATACAGTTGGCTTAAATGAGAATTTCCTTAGAATTTCACGGTAGTTAATAACGAATTATTTATGTGAAGAAATTGCACAACGATATTCATTTTATATGGTTCGAGTTTTAAAACCCAACTATTGTCTTCTGCGCAATTCTAGTTGATGCATGTTCTGGGCTGACACCACAGAATGAGGTAAACCAGCAAAGTTGTCTTGCAATGTTGAGTATCATTGGAAATCTTTAATGTAAGTTTTAAGTTAGATGTGCAGATTTAGCCACTTATTCAATTGTAAATTAAATGTATACATTGTCATAAAATGCACTCCCTCCCCAAGTATAACAAAGAAATTTATCCGAAATGTTATCTCATCAAACTACCCGTGTTGTATTTTCGCCAGCTGACGTGCTATTCTGTTTGTGCTATTAATGTTGTGGTGATAGGATATTTGAAGTGCCCACGTCTCATCACAGCTCAATTGTTGCTGTCGCGTCTACCACTAACATTGTTTAAACACTTTAACGAAGTTTCATATCACCCTGCCATCTCATAGACGCATCATCTTTCCTTTTCCAACCCGCCATCGCGAACCCGATGCACTTTTAATAGTTTAGGAAAAGTAATCTTCAGTGTCATTGCCAAGTGATTGATCTCACAGTCATTCTATTTTCACGTCTTGGGCGGGTTAGCACAGAATGCTGACTGCTCTATTACCTGTAAACTTGTACTAGCACAAACAAATGTGGCTAGTTTTGTGGTTGTGACTCATTCTTTGCCACCTTTTCTCAAATTGCTATCTGGCTCGTTATAATGACACAACAGTGATACGTTCGTGCAATAGCTTACTGTTGGAAAACCCGCCTGAGACAACAAAATCATACGATCACACAGATCCTTGTTTATTTACAAATATGAAAAGTTGGTACCTCACTAAATGAGAAGCTTGTCAACATCTTAAATTGCCACGGTTGCCCTATACACTAAACGAGCACTGATTGTTTGTGTTCTTCTGCTGTGTCCGCAAAATTATTATACCATTATTCCTTTGTTTGCCTTCGTGGCAGGGACGTCATTTCTCCACTTGTTGAAAACTGGTCACGCGCTTTTCTGTAGACGCTTGTAAGTAGATTGCAATAATGTGTCGCAGAAGGGTCTTTCAGCGGAAATGGACATGGCACATTTCTAGAACAAATGTGTACGTTAATGTACGTGCGTTTTTTTAGATACCATGGGCACTTGCTTGACAGTAAGACGTCCGGAAATACGGACTATTGTTTCTAATGAGAAGTGCAATAAATGGTTCTTTGTGCGAACGGGGAAGAAGCATAATGCATACCTATTAGAAAGGCTGGACTGTTCTTATGGAGTTGGCGATCGAAGAATATTGCTATGTGTACATGGTGACAGTTGCAGAGGAAAACGGCACTAGGTATTTCCACAAATTTCGGTACATTCAATGTCATTAATCGGTGGTGGTATGGCATTAGATTTTCACTGGCAAACTGACAAGCTACTGAAAAATTGTGACAGGACAGTGAGTCCTCCAACACACGCCGACTGTTTGTGCTCAAATCTGAAGAGAATAAATGTTTCTCAGAGTCAACTGCTGTGATGATAGTGGGGGAAATGTAGAAGGAAAATGTTCCCTGCAATGTCCCTTCAAAAAATGATACTAATCTCCTTGGTGGGTTCTAAAAGAGGTCTCAGTAAGAGACGAATTATCAATTTATCGGTGGCTGTGAGTCAAGCTTGCCACGTGATACCGGATGTGTAGTGATGAGTCATGTTTCAATACTGTTCAAGTGTTCAACAACAAGTGTACAGTGCCTTTAAGACGAGCTAATGTCTGTTCCCACCGCTCCCTTCCCAATTTATGTTGTCAACCGTCCAAACATTAGCATCATTACATGAATCAAGATAATTCTCAACAGGTGAGGTAGACGTTTCAGAGTATTGAGAATAAACGAGGAAATGATGTCGCATTATCTATATCGCTTTGCGTCTGATGGCGTTTTCATGTAATATTAAATTGTTGCTTTAAGATGCTATGAAATAAAGTGAATGCTTCTGAGATTTTTGGCTTGATTTCTCTGTGGTGTTTTATTTGGCTTTTTATTATTTATAGTTAATAAATAAGTAAGTCTATAAACGGTACTACTACGGTTACCTGTGTGGGGGAACATGGCCTACCGCTCTCTGAACTATAGAAATAGCAATTATAATGTACGGGTTGCTATATCAATTACATACAACGACGTGTTTTCACAAGGTGACCCAGTCTTACATTAACAATGACGCATCATACTTGGTAAGCTGCCAAGTGTAGTGTGGTTATTCGCTGAAATATGTTTGTCACATAAATGAGAGGATAGTTCGAAAGGGGGTTTTCTTTAAGGGTTGATGCAATGTGAAAGATCTAGAGGAGGGTCAAGGCGCTGTGATATCGATGATCGAGAACGTGAATCCAGATCTGAGCTGTATATCACACAACGGCTGAGGTCGTACATCCTGCTCAGGACAGAAAGACGTAGGGATTCTGAAAAATAATTGGCGAATGCCAGATTTCTATTGAAGTAAGATATATTATCTTCGACATTTACTAAACAAAGTGAAGGGTTTTATGATATGTGTGTCTGCGTGCGTGCGTGGGTGTGCCACATGAGTGTATTTGAAGAGAGCACGACCGAGAGGAGAGGCGGGGTAGGAAATATGGAGGGAAGACATGTAACATGTTGATAGGGCAAATCTTTTACATTTGTGAAGTATATAACTAAATCTAAAATGTGATTGACGCTATTGCCTTGAGAAGCAGCACGAGTAGCGTGGCGCGACCAACGGCAAAAACAGGTTATTTTCTAGTAAATATTGAACTAAACCATAAAGTATTATTATAGTATAGCTTTATTTAGTTGTAACCAATTCGTTAAAACACAAGGTAAACAATAATGGTTAATCGGTGCACGCATAGAATTATACTGAGAAACTAGAACGCTGACCGAGCAATGAAATCGACGCCTGTGAGCGACACCTGCGCCTCTACTGGATCACAGCAAAACAGCGGGAAAGACAGATTCTTCCATTAGATAGAACTGTTCTGGTTTGTATCACACACGCATGCGCGCGCACGCACGCACACACAAACACACGCGCGCACACACACACACACGCGCACACGCCCGCGCGCGCACGCACGCACACACACACACACACACACACACACACACACACACACACACACACTGCATGCTGGGATATATCTCCCCTGCTCCTATAGCGTCTATTTTATTGTATCCCCCGAACGAAGTTCGTGGGGATACTATGGGTTTGGCATCGTCGCGCCGCCGCCGCCGCCGCCGCCGCCGCCTCCGTAGAGATTTCCTTGTGAACGCTCTACCGGCTGCAGTTCTTCTCGGATCATCTTCAAATTTCGAGTGAAGGTGCGTTATCGTAAAGCAAAGACACCTATCGTTTTTGGTGTGGGCGGAGTCATCGTTGCCATGGTAACAACATTTTTTGTCAAAATATTCTAGAACCTGTAACTTCTGCACTTTTTACCCGATTGTCATGAAATTTATATTTGTATTAAAATTTATATTTACATTTATATTAAAATTTAAAAATAAAATATTATAATTAATATTTGTATTAAAATTTGTATTTAAATTCTATATTTAAATTTATGATTGATCATCAATATATATATATATATTATATATAATATATATATATATTATAGACATGTTATATCGCCCTGGATGCTGCCAATCCCATGACAAATCGAGGTAAAAACAGCACAAGTTACGACTTTACGTATTTCCAAAAATGTTGTTTACCAGTGCAACGATGACTCCGCCCACACCAAAAACGTGCGTCTCTCGCCTTACATAAGCCCTTATGCAATTTTGGAAGATGATCCGACGATCATCGTAAAAACTGCCCCACCAGGTCACTTCGACTCTTTATTCACCTGTTACCTTTTGACCTTGATCTCATATTTCTCTTCGCTCTCTAAACTCAGCCCTTAATATGACACCCTAGCGCGACCACTTGGTTAGCTTACACATCTTTTGGGGGAAGGCTGTCGCATACAACAAAACACACTCACTGACCTTGACTTACTTGACCTTCACGTCGACTTACATTCTCCTTCGTCGCCTCTATTAGGGGTAACCAGATTCCAATATACTTGCACAGTCTGAGCAACCAGCTTGTATAACAAACTTTTGTTTTGGGACTTTTTAACTTTACCTGACCTTCTACCGTTCTTACAGAGATTTTCTATTCATTTACTAGCATCACGGCGGGATACATGGTAGTTGGCGACAAACTGCTCGTTTCTAGTTCTTTACCAGACCTTGGAATCTGCTGTTCACATTGTTTGTTACTCCATTCTGGCATAAATAGATAGTAATGAAGAAATGGAATCATGGCTTATGGATGGATGGCATGGAGATGATGGAGATGGATGGATGGATGGATAGAGGATGGATGGGATAGATGGGTATGGATGGATGGCATGGATGGCATGGTATGGATGGGATGGAAATGGATGGATGAGATGGATGCATGCATGCATGGATGATGGATGGTATGGGGTATGGCATGGCTGGATGTTATGAAGGGTATGGATGAATGGAATGGATGATGGTATGGAGGATGGATGATGGATGGATGGATGGATGGATGGATGGATGGATGGATGGATGCATGGATGAATGGATGGAAGGGATGGATGGGATGGATGGGCTGGCATGGATTGGATTGATGGTATGGAATGGATGGATCGCAATGGATGGATCGTGGATTGCTTATGGATGCGATGGAATGTATGCGATGGATTCGATGGATGGATGGATGGATGGATGGATGGATGGATGGATGGATGGATGGATGGATGGATGGATGGATGGATGGATGGATGGATGGATGGATGGATGGGTGGATGGCTGGGTGGATGGATGGATGGATGGATTGATGGATGGATGGATGGATGGATGGATGGATGGATGGATGGATGGATGGATGGTTAATGGATAATTTAAATTTTATCACGGTGATTTAATTAATAAAGTTTGTGCACTTAGATTAACATACTGTGTACAGAGTATTAAAAACGACAATTAAGTATAGGAAAATGTGAATACGTTCTTATACTTCCATCTCAAAACGTTGCGAATGCATGATCGTATCGTTAGTATGCCATGTTCCTATTTTGTGTAGCTAGAATGTTGTTCGCGACATAACGACGCTACAACCTTCCAGGAACATTAATTACGGAAACGTTCTGTGCAAGCTGCGTAGGTAACTTTATATACGTTACATACCACTATAGACAAGTTGACAAGTTGAGTGCAAATATAGCCGCAATAATTCTGTATTTGCGTTTAAATACATCTTTTATCGCTTTAAGAAATAGCTGCGTTTTGTCAACGCTGCGTAGACCAGTACCATAGTACGCTATATTGTATATATCATAATAATACAATATTATGAAGGAAAGAAACACTGCGACCACTGAAACAGTATAACGGCGACGAGTATGCTACGTCTAGACACGTGTAATCGTATAGTGTGACCAGGTTCGCGTACAGTCAGATACGTATGCTGTCGCACTTTAAGCCACAACGGTATATCATTCAATAACCAAATGATTACTACAATGAATGCATTGTTTAATTTCCACAAAGCATAGTGACATGGCATACGGTACTTAACTACAATACCGGCCAGTAGGCACATACGAGAACTTTACCAATGGTTTGCACATAGTTTACAGCTTACGACCGTGGTGTCCTATGACGACTGGCGGCAGGCGGCGGCTTCAGGCTCAGGTGGTGACTGTCAGCAGGTAGCAGACGGCGAGTGAGAGCGTCGGTGACTCGCTGTTGCGAGTGCGGCCGTCGCTGACTCGCTCCCCCGCGAGCGTGGCCGTCGCGAACTCGCTGTCGCTGTGTACCCAATACGGCTAGATTTTATGCATCTGCAGGAATCCGTGGCCCGAGCGTGGTCAAGGCCTTGTTGCGCGCGGATGGTGCAATACTGTCGTAGTGGGCTAAAATAAGCCTATGCCGCTATATAGGTGTAAAGTTAACGACCCGTGTCGCTCGCTGCGCTCGACTCATAATTCGCTCTAAATTGATCTAGCTATTTACTGTAAACGTCACCATTACAACAGTCTAAACATTTAATGCGCTAAGAGCCTAAGACCATTTCTAAAGTAGGGGAGAAACCACAATATAGCTAAATTTTACGTAAAAGTAAGTAAAAATCGTTAAAAGTCGTACAAGCTTGTTCATATCGGGAATAATACACTATATGCGAACAGGAAACAATATTATGCATGGGCTAATGAAATTTGCTTGGCAAGTTAATATTTCAGCTTCCTAGCCAAGAAATAGCTACCATAGGGCGCTGCTATGGTAAGGTTGCATTGTTTAGCAGTTCCATTAAATAGATCTAACCACATAGCTGTATATGTATACTACTTTCGTTCTATGGCTATATAGATATGACCAGAAAGTATAAAGCGGTAGGCCTAATCTGTAATGGCGCCATCTATTGGGATAAATGATTTATAAGTGTATAACCGTATCTAACACTTCTATCTATCTATACTACAATGAGGCTAATCTTGTGTGTGTGTGTTTGTTTGATCTCGATGTTCTCCGTGATTTTTCCCTCAATCGCGCTAACTGAAGTATATTCAGAATCACCACGTCTTGCAGATGGTTCTGACTGAGACAAACATTTAAAAAAGTTAAAAAGTAAAAAAAAATTTTTAAAGTCAAAATTAAATCATCACGTACGTGGGAATTATTTCGCTTGTCTTTCCCGCCGCCGTAGCGTAGTCGGTAGGATCTCGGTTTCATAACCCGCGATTCCGGGTTCGAATCTCAGCTGGGCAAAAAAAATTCTAACTGTGTCACTTACATAAAGTTTAAATTTTAAGGCACGATTTGGTCGTTGTACGGGTATTAGTCTGCTAGTATATATAAAGTTGTTCAGCCGAATGTGTGTGTGTGTGTGTGTTCGCGCATAACTAGAGAACTCCGCAGCCTAGAGGAAAACTA